AGTATTTTTAAATTATATTTTTACCTTTGCCATGAAGCTTGTTTTAGAGAATACAAATTTATATAAAGGTTTTTTAAGGATTTATTATTAAATATGTATCTTTATATGCGAATGTAACAAGAGTCTATTCTATACCTCGTCTGTGTTATTACTTTGTAATCTTATTTTATGTTGAATCGGTAACGTTAGAAGTGGTACAAAAATGGTAATAGGGCTGTAAAACTTCGAATAATCGAACTATTCGAATAATTCAGATAATTTTGAATATGAATTCTATATTCGGCTAATTCAAATATTTGAAGTGTTTGATTTTCAGATTGTGCTAAATATTTCGTACATATTGAATATTGGTATATGTATATATTTTTGGAAAGGCAGGCTATATTCAGTGCTATGAGTTTGAGATACATTTATTTCTAAGCATTGATCGCAATCAGTAATTCATCAGTAATGATATAATCGATGTATTGCTGTGTATTCATTGTATTTACAGTTGCTGCGCATGATTGCCTCTATTTTGAGGCGAACTGAAATCCCTAAATGATTTTAAACGACTGTAACATTTACATTTCTCCTCTCCTTACTGAAACGTTATGTTCCGAAGTTTATAGATTATTATTATTCGCTTTGTAAACTTCCTTTACCCATTAATAATAAGAATAATATTAATCCTAACTATTATTCGAAATGTTTAACTATTCAAAATTGAAATTCTAATTCTACCGATATTCGAATTTTTCTAAGAATCCTACTCTAGAGTTCTAAAATTATGTGACAAAAAAATAAGTTGGATGGCAAGTCTATTCTATACCGTACCTGTGATTGCACTAAAATGCAGTTTAAAAAAAAATTCTTTTCCGAAAGTACTTTAATTTAATAGTCTTCTATTTTCATGCATACTTACAAATAATGCTCGTAATTAATATCTTGATTTGCATTATATTATAAATATTATAGTAGTGAAAATACAAAAAAATTATTTTAATGGCACTAATTCCTCCGGATCCAAGATACCTCTTTCGAGGTGATATGGGTTGTGTTCATTGTATTCTTTTCCAAATAACCTCCAATGTAGAACATTTTTGTGCAGGTACCGCTACAGGAAATATTCATATTTGGGATTTGAATGTAAATAAAATATTTTAGTACTTTTCATATTTCAATAAACTTATTCATTATTTCGTTATTCATATTTTGTTATTTTGTCTAATCTTGAGCAAAGTGTATATATCAATCATGTAAATGTATTATTTGATATCAAATAAAATTTGTAAAATTTTTAAAGACAAACAGGGAGTTATGTCGGATCATATCAGAACAAGATTGTTGTTTAAGTTTGCAAAGTTTAAGTAATGATAACTTGCTTGTACAACATAAATGTAGTTTAATAAAAGTATATAAGAAAACAGAATCTCAGTGGATTGTACATAAATCTGTCAACATAGACTTTTACCACTATTGCAGGTATATTTACACATATAATAGTGATACACAAAATGTAATGTTTCATGAAAAATTGTTTACATTTATTTAGTATATTTTACTTTATGTAAGATGTAGTAAAATTCAGTTTTACTTTTTTAATTAATATCTGTTAATTAATTTATAATTGTTCAATATATTTATCACAGGTTCCAAGTTTCTGGAAATGAAATATTTGTACCACTTAAAGATTCAACTATTGGAATATTATCCTCAAATACTTTTAATGTAGAATTAAAGTTAAATTCTTCCAAATTTAGAAACCTAGGAGAAATAATGGTAATAAAACCATTAAAAAACGAAAAATTAGTTTTAGCTGGTTATGAAGGAGGAAAGTTAATTCTATGGGATATTCGACAAAAAAGCATTTTGAGTTCTTTATTAATAGAAACATGTCCAATGGCTTTAGATTTTGATACTACTTTAATGAAAGGAATTATTGGTGGCCCATCTGACAAAATACAGGTAAAAACTAAAAATGAAACAGATAAATATAAGAAACAAAAAGTATATGTTACTTAGTTTATTTTTATTAAGTAGATATTCTTGTAAACTAAAAAATTTTTTATGACAATAATAAATTTTTAATTTTTAGATATTTTCTTTGTCAGATAATAATTTATTGCATGATAAGAGTAAAATAACTCTGAAAAATCCAGGCACTTCTGTAATCTCAATACGACCAGATGCTAAAATTGTGACAGCTGGAGGGTGGGACAGTCGAGTTAGAATATTTTCTTGGAAAAGCTTGAAACCATTGGCTGTTTTAGATCAACACAAGGATACTGTGCAAGATATTAGTTATTCTACACAAAGATTAAAAACATATGATGATAAATGCATAATGGCAACAGCTGCAAAAGATGGATATGTAGCACTATGGGATATTTATAATTAAATTATAATTTTGTAGCAATATTATTGTTATAATTTAAACAATTTTTTTAAATAC